TGAATGCCCAGACACCAAGCAATGGAATATTTTCTTTAAACACCAGTTAATGATCAATGGAAAATGTCATCACGATGAAGTTATGCAGGTACTTAAGTGCTCTGCTGGATCGGGTCTTTGTGAGATACATTATAGTCCCACATTCAATGAGGTTTTCTGAGTGTGATAAATAAAACATCTGAACCTCTATGAAAAGGAGAAAAAAAAAAGAAAGAGATATATGTAAAATATTTTTAAAGCTCCTTTAGTTCTCGGTTGGCACAGTGTAGAGAAAGAGGGAAAGAGAATGCAAAAGCATAAACTAGACTATGCTTGTGTAAATTACTCTGACATTTAATAACTCTCTACTAAAAATTCCCAAGCAAGGCTGCTTCAGGTATTGCTAAGGCCATGTATCATTTACTGTCTAGGTCAATTTATGCATCAGCAAAAATTGCTGCAAACCCTTCTGGACAGCACTTTAAAAATAAAGGTATATGTAACTGTTTTGGTCATATTTTCCTCACCAGTTTCTGCTCTGCAAGCATTTCACCTTGGAAAATTAAAGTAACATTCTGTAATAAGTGAAGTCAGTATGATATTTCAAGACAAATCAAGGACAAGCTCTATAACTGTGCTATCAAAATGCTATTAATAAAAGCAAAAATACACACGTGATGCCTGGGTTTCCCTATGGATGGAAAAAATTATTGTCCATTAAGTTAACATTTCAGATATCCTCCGGGTTTTTCCTAAAGGCCCAAAGAAGGAAAAAGAATACATATCTCTTGTTGTTAACTTGTATAAACTATCTGCTATCATGTAGTGCTCCACTTTAGTAAACATTTCAAGGCTTCTTAGGAGAAGATATAGATCAGTAGGATTTCTGGGAGGTAAGAAGGTGGGAAATTGTTGCTAAAAAAATGTACTTTCATATTTAAATTTTATAACAGTGTCTTAGTTTATTTTTGTTTGGGTCCACAGGTTTGTGTTTATAATTGCATCTTACCTTAAGCATCCAAATTCTCATTTATATAGTTCACCTAGCTGCTGAATTCAGTGGTTCCATAGTTATCCCCAGGATAATCCATGGTGCAGTAAGGGCCAAGGCTGCTCTAGAAGATCTCAGGTACCCCAGTTACATCCCTCAGTGTCTCTCTGCACATCCCTGGCATTGCTGAGCCACCCTCTCCAGAAATACTCAACAACACGTGTAGTTACACCCACTCTTTATTTAAGTGCTCCTTCCCCGGGAGAAAACATGTTTTAAAGTACTATATATTTGTACTGAGTTTTAGAGTTTGTACCCACACCATTTTTTAAAATAAAATACCCAAGGAAAATATGGCTCGGAGAATTTGCCTTTTCACCTGGTTTCAGGTGACCAAAACGCACACACACGTTTTCATTGGAGTCAAATTTTGAGAGTGCGCACGTGTGTGTGTGTGTGTTTGGCTTCCTTCTTTTTCAGTGGTTAAAAAGAAATCAATTTTGAAATGAAAATGTAGTTTGGGAAAAAAAAGCCCAAGACAGTTCACTTTGAAAATATCACAGAACATTTTGAAACATACTGGAAAAAAATCAGCATTTGTCAAATTAATTTCATTATTTATAAAAACTTCCATCCTCTCACAAATCTTGATATTTACATTGAAATCACTATTATTGATTTTCCCTTTCTCACAGCCCTACCAAGAATGAAAGATGAACTATAACATAAAGTCACTTCCCTTAGTTAGTTACATTGATGGGATACATTAGATATTTTGAAAAAACTCACTAATGAGACATATTATTTCCAAGATAAAAATGCTCACTGTGTTCAAAGGACTTTTAAAAGGAGCCCTTTTTTCCACTCTTATTTTCAATGGTCTCGTTACACCAATGGGAAATTCTTAGGAAACTTCTCAGATCTTGCGCATTTATTTTGTTTCATTTTAGATCCCTGTCTCATAAAACACTGTGAAAATTTCTCGGGCAGTTTATATTAGTATTAAAAACTGAACTAACTTTATTATTCATTCAATCTCCTCCATTATTTATCCCTCTTGATTTGAAAGTAGGACTCACAACCGCAGCACAAGGAGTTTGCTGCAAGTCCCTGGAACGCAGCCTCGCCACAATTAGCCATTGATCCAGCTGCTCGTGCCATGACAAGGGAATGCAAACTCCCTTCTCCTTGAGGCTACAGCTCCACAGAGAAACCCTCCAACATCACAGGCTTCTACCACTACATTTCTTAACTTAATAAACAACATTGGCTCAGAGTTGAGTTCTTAAGCTGCAAGGAGATACACACACTTTTATTCATTAGGAAAGTGGGATTTTTTTTTCCCCCATCATAAACCAGTTCATTCTTTCTGTATATGCAGATTTCTTTTTTTTATTTTTTTTTTAGCCAACCTTTGGTAACACAACTTTACATAGGCTTAAATTGATGCAACAAGATTTCTCATGCAGAATGAGATATACATTAAATATGCTTCTCCCCCCCCCCAAAAAAAAAGGCTTTTACTGCATGAGTAAAACCTCACAAATGTGTGAAAGACCTGTGGCAAATATTCACATTTTATGAATGAGGTTATTGAACAATGAGCTTGGAGAACAAAAGAAAAATTCATAGCACTCAATGACTATGACAGATGTCACTTAATTTTAATTATTGATGACAGTATTTCAGACTATGCTTGTTAAGATAGTGGAGTGAAAAAGCAGAACACTTTACAGTACCCAGCTGCCGAAAGGTCACTGGGAGGTAGTAGGAGACATCAAGATTTTAGTGGCACTTTCTAGTAACTGTGCCAATTTCAGTGTTTCTCCTTCCCTCAAGATGTATCTACCACTGCTGTAAAAAGTTTCTTCTCCATATCCACTTCAGCTGGAAAAAAGAAGCAAGTAACTGACATAATGCCTGTGGCTTGGAGTCCAAGTAAGCCATTTCTGTACCTGTGTGATGCATTATAATTTTTAATTACTATATTGCAAACTAGCAGTCAAAAATGTCACACACACCTTCACCACACTTCATGCTGATGCACGGATCTATCCACGTTGGTATGATTACAAGGTAGTAGCCATATTCAGATGTCTATGATGGATTTTGGATTCTAGTTCTTGACCCTGTTTTTCCAGTCTTGTCTCCAATTTATATTTGATAGGTATGGCATAAATTGATTATTCAAATGTCACAACTTCCTGTGATTAACTGTGATAATTTAACCATGTATATAATACAATTTCTTGGTTTAATACACAGTACTTAACTTATTTTCCTTGTTAAAACATCTTCTACTGACTTTAATTACACTCATGAGAATAGAGAAGTCAAAAAACATATTATTTCACTGCGGCCTCAGGTGAAAAGAAAAGGTTTCATGGCTCAGGGAATCACTCTTTAATCACTCTTTAGTGACTTCAAAACTTCTTACTCCTGATCCTCGACTGAAATCCACTGCTCACATCTTACAAATGAAGTGTGATCCCAAAGTGCTCCAAACTGATTAAATGAAAACCAGGCAGGTGACCAATTATCAAGTAGTTCACTCCTTGACCCTATATTCTTGGTAGAAATGTTTGTACATTTACGTTTAGTGGCTCGGGGAGGAAATATCCACCTCATGAAGTAATACATACATGTGTTTGCATTTATATTGTTTGAAATAATGATGTAATACCACAGGCCCTCAGGAACCTCATGTTAATTTCTTACCTACCAAATCTGGCTTCTGTAAGCCTTTCTTTGCCAGCCCCGATTCCTTACTGGGCTGAAATGGTTTATGCCTGCCTAGGTTTCACAGAATCACTGACTCAATTAGGTTGGAAAAGACCTCTGAGATCATGGAGTCCAACCTGTGACCAAAGACCACCATGTCAACGAGACCATGGCAGTGAGTCCCACATCTAGTCTTTCCTTAAACATCTCCAGGGATGGTGACTCCATTGCTTTCCTGGGCAGCCCATTGTAATGTTTAATAACTCTCTGAAGTAATTCTGCCTAACGTCCAACCTAAACCTCCCCTGGTGCAGCTAAAGGCCATTTCCTGATGTTTGTTGCCTGGGAAAAGAGGCCGATCCCCACCTGGCTACAACCTCCCCTCAGGCAGTTGTAGTAATAAGGTCACCACCTGAGCCTCCTCTTCTCCAGATTAAACACCCCCAGCTCCCTCAGCTGTTCTTCATAAGAATCATTTCATAGACCCTTCTTCACCAGCTTCATTGCCCTTCTCTGGACCCATTCCAGCACCTCCTTCCTCAAATGAGGAGCCCAGAACTGGACACAGCACTCAAGGTGTGGCCTCCCCAGTGCCGAGTACAGGGGAAGAATCACTTCCCTGGTCCTGCTGGCTGCTCCATTTCTGATATAGGCCAGGATGCCACTGGCCTTTTTGGTCTCCTGGGCAAAAGCTGCATCATGTTCAGCTGCTGTCAACCATCACCTCCAGGTCCTTTCCCTCTGGGCCACTTTCCAGCCACCCTTGCCCGAGCCTGTAGCACTGCAGGTGAATGTTGTGGGCCAAAGTGTAGGACCTGGCACTTGGCCTTCTTGAACTTCACACCATTGGCCTCAGCCCATCGATCCACCCTGGCCAGACCTCTCTGCAGAGCCTTCCTGTCCTCCAGCAGATCCACACTCCCACCCAACCGGGTGTCCTCCGTGAATCTGCTAATGGCAAAATGGCAAAATTTGCCAATGGCAAAACTCGGAGCACCTCAGACCAAGCCGACAGCCGGGGCCCACCGGAGGGCACACCGTACCCCTAAAGCCGCGGTGGAGTGAGCTTTTATTTCCCTGGACTATGGGAGTGAACGATGCACCCCTTTCCCCGGGCGGGGGGACCCGCGGTCACCTCACGGCGGGCGGGGGGGCGGGGCCGCAGTTCTCCTCTGCGTCCGGCACCCTGCCCCTCCACCATGCGGAGCCAATGGGGGCTCGAGGCGGCGCGGCGGCGGCCAATCAGCGGCGGCGGAGGGTCTGCCCGGGAAAATGGCGGCGGTGCCGGCGGCGGCAGTGGCGGGAGGGACGCGGCGCCGCCGCAGCGAGCGCCATGCCCGGTAGCCGGCGCAGGGGGCTCTGCCTCAGGCCCGCCGCCGCCCTGAGGAGGCGCAGCGGCGGCGAGGAGCAGCTCAGCCGGCGGCGGGCAGAGGAGGAGGAGGAGGAGGAGGCGGCGGCGGAGGGCGGCGCGGGCCGAGGCCTGCCCGCGGCGGAAGCGGCGTGCGCGCCCCGCGCTGCAGGTACGGCGGGAGCGGCCCCTGCGGGCCCCGGCACTGCCCGCCGGCCCTGGGGGCGCGGCCGAGCCGTGAGGAGGGGCCGGCGCGGTGTGAAACCCCCGTTCCTCCCCCGCCCGTGTGCCCTGGGAAGGGGCTGTTCTTGTCAAGAGCGGTGTGCCCTGGGGCCGCGAAGGCCAGTGGTGCCCTGGGGTGCACTAGGAAGAGCCCTGTCAGCAGGTCGAGGGGGATGATCCTGCGCCTTTATTCAGCCCTGGTGAGGCACATCTGGAGTGCTGTGTCCAGTTCTGGGCTCCTCAGGACAAGTGAGACATGTAGCTCCTGGAGCAGGCCCAGCAGAAGGGTCACCAAGTTCATCAAAGGTCTGGAGCATCCCTCTCATGAGGGAGTTGGGCCTGTTCAGCCTCGAGACCACTGGAAGGGGGCCTCATTAATGTGTATAAATATCTAAAGTGGGGGTGTCAAGAGGATGGTCCAGGCTCTGCTTGGTGGTCGCAAGCAATAGGACAAGAGGCAACAGGCAGAAACTGATGCACAGGAAGTTCCACCTGAATATGAAGAAGAACTTTACTGTGCGGAAGACTGAGCACTGGACAGGTTTCCCAAAGAGGTTGTGGAGTCTCCCACACTGGAGATACTCCAGAACCATCTGGATACAATCCTGTGCAATGTGTTCTGGGATGGTTCTGCTTGAGCAGAGAGGTTGGACCAGATGTCCTACTGTGGTCCCTTCCAGCCTGTCCCATTCTGTGATTCCCATGGCACTGAGACACTGAGAAGTAACTGAGGCTGTTGATCCACTCTAGGAGAGGATAAAACCTGGCCACACTGGGCACTTCAGTGCAAAACATCTAAGACACTTCTTGTGTAGTAATCGCATCTTTTAAATTATTTCTGTAGGCTTTCACATCTGCAACACCATTTCTAAAGGGCGGGGATGACCAGCTGAGTTTCACATAGTGTGTTCAGTTCACTTACTGATCAGAGGCAGCTGCAAGCAGGTATTGAATAGCTATATTGCTGCTTCTCATAGTCCTAGCTGGAAAGGCCCAGGGGAGGAAGTATAGACGAAGGTAGGTTATGACCCAGAGCAGTTTGGAAGCCCGTTAAAGTTGTAGCTCAAATCAGTCTGGGTGAAAGATCCAAAGCAAGCAAGAATATAAACTATTTTCTCATGTAGGTATGCATAGTTTTTTCTCTTAATGTAAGCTGAAGTCAATATTCTCTCAAGTAGAAGGATGGACAGTTCCCATCCTTACCATCAGATGCTGAGTGTGTAGCTGTCAGGATCGTGTTATATCTGTGATGATGTAACTGGCAAAGCTGAGAGTCCTATTCTGCATTAAATGTCTAGTTGTGAACAATATTCCTGTTGTGAGTAAATAGTGCTGATGAGTGTAAACTTTATTTTTATTCTTGAATTTCCTAAAGGATCTTCTTATGCCTTGACCTATTGTGTGTTCTAAGTGATTTGGGCCTTTTATTTGTTGTTTTCTAATAAGTATCCTCTTTCTGTTTACACAGAGTCATGTTTACATAAAACTCCAAAGAGGTCCTTGAGTAGGAAATCCCGAATACCTACTTTCAGCTCTCCTGTTAATGACACTGATACACAGCAAGAAATCTTTTGGGATTCTCATTCACCAATTGCACACAGACTAGGTAAGATCAAAATCCAGGCTTCAGGACACCTGTTTGAGGCATGCAGTGTGAGTGTACTAAAAGTTACCAAAGATTTCTTGGAAAAAGACCCCTTTCTCTTATAATGGCTAAGTTGTTCGGTTTTATTTTTATTAAAAAACCATAAATTCTTCAACATAGTACTAAATCAAGCTCTGATTTTAACACATGGATTTGAATTGAGATGTACTGCACTTCATAAATTGAATTGGTTTGCAATTTTTGAGAAGTTTGTTTGTTTGTTTTCATAGGCAGTGGAAAAACCAAACAGTCCACCAGTGGGTGCACAGTAGAAATTTCGGAAATTGTTAATCGTATTGCTCCTCAGGTAATTCTTACTTTCTAAACCAGCTCTCTGCATATGCAGTAATCAAACAGAACACTGCTTCAGCCTAAGCCTCAGTTTTAGTTACAGTAGTTTCATGGTAAGAGTTGGGTGTGTAGAAAATTAGTAGCGTGTTCATAAAACGGGATTGAATTTGAATGGTAAGTGTAGCACTGATTGGTTGCCCTGTGAGTCACAGATGCTGTAAAAAAAGATGCATTAAGAAAGTGAACTTGCAGCAGCTCCATTTTAGAAAGGTTTACTGTCAGAATGCAAGTTATTGCCTCTGGTTTTAGGAATACTGTTGTTTTTATTTATCCTTAATCACTCATCTGTTCAAAGGTAAGAGTTTTTCACGTTTACTTGACAGTTGTTTTTAAGCATTTTGAATGGTCCTGATTGACTGCTGAAGTACAAGAACAGGATTGGGATGAGAGAGATACTCTACAATAATATAAACAGACACTCGAAATAATTTGCCTTTTTACCCTAAGATCTCTACCCTTTCCCTCTTGCCCTGAACCTGATGTCCACAGCCTAGAAAGTGAAAATAGAAGTGTTTGCTTATTGTTGCATTTTAAATGCAAGAAGAGAACATGCAATTCCTAAAACAGATGTGTAGTATTTAGCTTGCAAAACATGCCTGCTTATTTGACAGGCCCATTTAAATTGTATTCACTGTTTGGCATATTTGTGAGAAATTATACTTAAGAATTGGAAAACCATTGGTAAGGGATGCCACTGCCTTCCCTGTAAGTGGTTACAGCCCTGCCATAAATGTAAATAATATCAGGGTTTGCAACCATCTGTTGCTCATGTTCCTTTTTTCTTAAACAAAAATAAATTTAAAAAAAATTAATTTTACAAAGAATAAGAAAACCTACCCCAAACTACCCTAGTAGTTAGTGAAGTTCAAATTTATTTTTCTGGCTTGCATGCAGTAATTTCCCACATCCTATTGGTCTGCTGCTGTAGACAATTTACCAGTGCACTATTATATCTCTTAGACTTCAGAATTTAAATTCGAGCCTGAACTTTGAAGTTCTAAAACAACTTTGTTTAGTTTCTAAATGTCACTTACTTCAGTTTAAAGGCTTTTTGTGTAAATGAGTTGTAATGGAAGAAGTCATAATTTTTTTTCTGGTAGCATGCAGAATGTGATTTTTTTTAAGTTCTCTAATCTGTTAATGCTGCTTTAAGTGGATTAAGTCAGTGCCTCTCAGGCAGCTCCTTAGTTTTATATACTGAAGTAAACTAGATCACAGCTTGTAACGTGAATATTGCAGAATATGTGTAACCCTGATGTAAATAGAGTATTAGATTTGAGCACTAAAGTAAAATTCATTTATTTTAATTGAAGTTCCTGTTTTAAAACAATATAATTGAAGTTTAATCTCACTTAACTTGTATTGCTTTAGCTCCTATCTGAGGCTTTCAACAGGTTTCATATGTTTACTTGGTTTAGCAACTTTAACTCACGCAAGGTGTGTGTCTAGTCCAATCTTTATCTGACATCAAATTTCTAAGCATTGTAAATCTAATCATTCAGGATGAAAAATCAGCCTGTAGTGAAGGCTCCATTTTAGGAACATGGATTGGTGAGGATGCTATTCCCTATACACCTGGAGTAGTAAAAGTGCGATCTAGGACAAAGTTAAGTTGTACAAGGTGAGTTACAGTTTTTTCTTGCCCATCATAGCTGGGCTTTCATGAAAGAAGATTTGTGGTCTCTTATGTATAGTGAGCCATGTAATTGTACATTAGCATATAGAATGCTTTGGGCTTGTTATCTCTTCTTAATGGGGTATTTCTATCAAAATGATTGCATGTTGACTGCACATTGTGGGATTCGGTCATCTTCTCTGTAGTTGTTAAACTAGAGAATGAACAGCTCACATGGTCATGTTATTGAGCTTGGCTAAACTCTCTCAGTAGCTCTGACTTTCTATTGTTTTTTTTTTTCTTTTTATCCAGGGATCCTAAGATAACAATTCCCGAAGAGGAACTCATGAAATTGGCTAAGGAATTTGATAGAAACCTAGTAGAGCTAGATGCTGTTCAGGAACAGGAGAAGCTTGGTCACAACTTCATCCAGAGCACCTCAGAGCCTTTGAATAATTCTAAAGATGAAGTAAACATGAAGAACGAGATACCACTCCTTGGTGAAGGTTCTGAAACAGATACTGCTCTGTCCGTGAAACCAGTTGGACAGAGCACTGGCATTCCTGCTGCAGGGCCCTGTCGGTCCAGCAGTCAAAAGTCTGTAGACCTTGAGTCTGAAATAGCCCTTCATGCTCTTTTTGACTGTTCTACCCAGAAGTGTAGTGGGCAGCTGAGCCAAGGACTGTCAGATATTTCTTTAAATAACAGTTTTCATAAAAATAAAAGTACCTTGGAGGAAGAACAGCTTCCTGAGGAAACTGAAGTCATGCAATGTGGTAATTCAGAGGCACAACAAAAAGGTGCAGTGGGGAGCGTGAACCAGACGGTACCAAACCCTGATATGACAAAAAAAAATCCTCCTTTGAAGACACAATTGGTGGCCTCCACTAAGCTGGCTGGAGTAGTTAATGATGACTTTGATGACTGGGATACAGATTTTTTGGCAGATGACTCTTTTATGATGCAAATAACCCAAAATCCTGAATTGATAAGTACTGAAGAACCACCACCAATTCCTGCAAATCCACCTGGCTGTGGTTTCAGTGATGCTAGCACAACAAAGCAAAGAAGTAGTGGCAATTTGGTAACTTGTTTGGGGAGTGTAAACAAATCTAACAGTTTGCAGTATTCACCTTTGAAACATTCTAGTAAAAACATACAAAATGTTGTAAAATCTCTGTCTTTACAAAAGCCATGTAAGACAGAAAACTCAGAGACCACAGCCTTGCATGGCAAATGTGATGTTAAGCCAGATAAAATAAATTCCATTTGGAAAAGTGCTCAAAACAGGGATTTGAACTGTATTTCTGTTCCAGTGCAATCTGAAGTGAAGAATGGAAATGAAGCTACTCAGTCTAAAAGTGACCCTCTTTTTCCTTCAAGATCTAATCCTCATAGACAACGGACAGAAAAACCTGGAAATACCACCCATGGTATTTCCTGTCAATCATCCAATGTTTCTATCAGTATGAAACCTAATGATCTAACTAAAGTGTTTGAAATACCAAAGAAGTGTCCTGTGCCATTTCACGAATGGAATGAACCAAAATTCTCTGATGAGATATTAGATATGTTTTGTGGATCCGATAGTCTTTGGGATGCTAACTTTGAGGATGATGAATTGTTGTATCAGGTGTGTGATGATATAGAAAAGCAGACTCAGAGCCAAGATGTTAAACAAGGAAATGAAAGAACTAAAACTATACAAGGAGCAAGTAGTAATTCCAGATCAAATGCTGATAAGAGCTTCCTAGCCTCTAAACAAGGACATTGCCTCTTGGCACAAAATACAAATGCAAAACAGGAGGCTCTCTCTCTAAATGATTCCTGTAGGAATTCATCAAAGGTTATACATGGGCTGGCCACAACAGGTCATGCAGTGAACTGTAAGAGCATCTCAAGTCCTAGAACTGTGATCTCAGATCCTTCTACAGAGGGCAAATACACACTGACTAAAAACTGTCATCAGGATGCTTCTGAAGATACTACAAAGACTGTTTTGGGGAAATGGTACAGGTCAAATTCTGTGCCAGCAGGAGACACTGCTTCTGAAGTAAGTCCTGTTGATGCAGTAAACATTTTTAGCAACAAAACATTAGACCGCCCAGATCTCTTGTATAATACAGGAAAGATACCAAGTAGCACTTCTAGTAATAAAACATCACTCGTACCTTCAAAGTTTAAGTTCCGAAAGATCAACAATTCTAAGGGTGGTTTTCATGTAGGGTGTGAAAATTCAGGGAATCATTCTGGCATTGGAATTACTCTGCAGGGTTTGGAAGGAAGAAAGAATCAGGTGAACATGAATTTGCACAGCAAGCCCGACAATAAGAAATCACCTTTCAAGAGGCACTTTTCAGAGTCTTTTGGACAGCCTTCATCAGGTATTTGTCTTTATCTATCACTCTCAGACTGTTACTGTTTTTTTCCTTACTGTAGTCAGAATGTCAGAGATTTGTACTTTGTTGCAACTTACAACAGACTTCAATATTCATCCATTCTTGTAGGTGTTAGCAAATGTTCTAGTGAGAATTTGGAGGTTATTTTCTCCAAAATAAAATTGTCCTGACCCATATCTTGAATCCCTGCCCATTTTCATTCTACTTCTCTGAATACTTCACACCCTCTCTCCACAGACACTCAGATTCACTAGGCTCAAGTGCAGCCTGATGCAGTACTAAGCATACCGTGTTCTTAAATTGTTATTTAAAAATACTGTTATTTTGATACATAGTAAAACCCCAGTTAATGGTGGGGCGGGGACAGAAGGCACCAGGTGATTTGAAATGCCAGGTTTTTTTATATTATTATTGTACGCCTGGAATTTGGAACCTAAAATCACTTGGTGCTTTTCAAACCTCAGCCTGTATCGTCGTTTGCTCTCTGGCTGAAATTGACCGTGAAATATTCTTGTCTTATCAGTCTAAACACTAACATTTCCTTTTCATCCAGAGGGGAGATCAGGCACTTCTTCATCATCAAGTGACAGTCAGGAATACTCCATGCACTGGGCTTACTTGCTAGGGAAATGTAGAACTGATCAAGTTCCGGTCAGTCTTGTTTTCGCTTGCTCTCACAGCTTGGCAAAGTTTTAATCAGTATTAATTTTGATAAAACACACCTTTTAAAGTGTCCTATATTAACCCCCATTTTCAGGAAACACTTTTACAAAAACAACAATTCATTCCTGTAAACTGTCGGCCAGTTTTATCAAAGAATCAGTGTTTTATTTGTGTTTTTTCCCCAACAAAGAAGCAGATAAATGGAAAGTAGCAATTTTGGATGTTAAGGAGAAGGGGAGGAGGGAGATAACTAGTTATTCTGTGGAGTGTTCTAGAGAATAAAGGAATAAAAATAATAACATAGACTTTCTTTACAGATAAACAACAACTGTCCTCAAATTTTGAGTGAGTTTTTTGTAACAAAAAGATGGATGTTACGTGATCCTTTCAAAAACTGATGTTTAATTTTTCGCAGACACCTTTTTTGTGAGAAATAAAGAGACCCTTTGTTTTGTTTATCTGGTTTGAACACTTATTAAAAATACATTAATTGAAAATTGGTGAATAAAAATGGTAAAATTATTGATATATGCAGGGAGGGTTCCTGTTGGTTCCAGTGAGGTCAGGATTTTATAGCATGGGAATTTATAGTTCTGTAACACAACATATAGAATGCTTTGCTCAGCTATCATGTTCTTGTCTCTTTTGCCAATTTTTATTGCTACTTTTGACCTTTTTTCAACCTTCCTTGTTTTATTTGTGTGACACCTGTACTGTATCTGACCCCTGTGTCTATACCATCTCCATGCCCATATCTCTGCCTAACTCACTAAATTGTAGAGCCCTTTTCACTCTGATAGCCTTAATTTTCTTAACCCATCACCATCTCCTATGTTGACTCCTGATGTCATAAGGTTCACTTGAAGGGCAGCCAAGTAAAATTTCCTTGAAGCAAATGTCTGCATCCCAGTGTTTTCATTGGGAGGTAGTAATCAGTAGCACTACAAAGGTCATGCATTTTATCCCCCTTCCTGCCTTGGGGACAGGATGGATGAGCCATTTTTAACGTGGATGCCCAGAATGTCAGAATAGTGTGCTCCTGCCATAGATCTTCAAACACTGAAAATAGATAAGTTAAAATACATATTGAACAAACCTGAAGGCTGCTAATACATGCTTTTTATTTACAGTGTCTGTGGTGGAACAAAAAAATAGAAAATGCTCTCAAGAAGAGATTGAAAGAAAAAAACAAGAAGCTCTTGCACGAAGGAAATCCAGAACACAGGCATTCTTTAAAGATGCTTGAATTTGGAGTTTATTTTTTCTGCGGAGTAAGTTTGTGGGAGGGAAATACTGTAATGCTGGAAGACACTTTTAAAACTCCATTCACATCTATTGATGGCAAGTTTTTTTCTGTTTCTCAATGTAAAAAAATCTGGACCTGAACCATAACTAATACTCTGGTGGTATTTAGTCTTAATTAAAAACTATAAGTTGTGAATGTGTAGTCCCAAACTACCTTCAGCAAGATGAAGATTATGTTGAGTTCATGTACTGTTACATGTTGAAATTGCATAGTCTGAAAATCATGAGAGCATTGGTATACACACATAATGAAGGTGTCAAAAACAGACTGTATGTTTTGGCTGTGTTATTGCAAGTATTCTAATCTTTAAGAAGACTCTCAAGTACACACAGACTAAGAAATACACAATGAAGTTTACTCTCAGGTAGAAGACAATTTTTAAGTTTTGAGTGAAATAAAGTACAGTCTAGGAAACATCCAACAATTGGAAAACTAATGGAAATGAACAGGCTTTGGAAAGCTCAGTTTGTCTCTGTTACCTGAGGTAAGAAATGTACACAGAGAAGGAAAAATTTAATATAAAAGTTTCATAAGGTGAAAAAGCATCCTGCAAAGGACATGTATTTTTTTTAAGTTCCTTTCACGAAGAGTTGGAAATACCCTGACAAAATTGGAACACCCTTTTCTAAACATGCATCACCAAGCTAATTAAAAAGGGTAGCCTGTGTCATTTTACCAAACCATGAGCAATATATAATAAATCAGGTGAGATCTCAACAACTTTGCGTCAGTTTAGCCTTATGGCTTGTACATATTTTCAGACTAAAGGCTGTTGAAACATAAAAATGCAATGTCATGTCAGCTTAACAGGGGCTGATAGAATTTTTGATGTGATAGATGGGTGTAGAGATCAAACTGCAAAAACTGCCTCTGGGTAAGCTGCAAGATATTTTTCAACTGAGAAATGCTTATATGTAAACATGTGACACTATGAAAAGTGACTGTAATTTTTCTTTGTAAATAAATAACTATAAAATGTACCAAAGGTTGGAGGAAGCTTTTGGTTTCTGTAGTATGTGCCATTTTTGTAACTCTTAAAAATGTAAGTATTGTATATTTGTAAGTCATCATTAAACTTTTTTTTTTACATTTTTCTAATCTGTTCTGGAAAATACTCTACTACAGAAACTGGTAAAAAGGAGTGAAATGGGAATGCCATATGAACTTTACCTGAATGTCCTCATTTGGTAATTTCCCTAATTATTCCATGCCCCAATTTTCTACTTACACTGGTGACAAAGTGCTTCCTTTAATTTATTTAAATTAAAACTCCTTTCTGGAGGAACTAGTTCAACACACAACTGTCTGGTGTGCAGTCCATATGACAAATAAATGTAAACCCCACATAGTGGCCATTGCAAAAATTTTATCCTGAAGATGTAGTTTACTCTGTGTAACTGAGGGATATGCTTGTCTTTGTGGTGTTGTAGGAGAATCTGAACTATCAGGTTACTTGCCAGATGTACTATTAGCCAATAAAATGGCAATGAGAAGAGGCTTCTGCTATCACTATTAAATATGAGTTATAAAACTGTCTTTTAAGGTACTGATGCACAAGATGTTATTGAGAAAGATAAAAATGAGGCTTTTGCTAGGACAGTGTTCAGCTGAGCAACCCTTCCCTCCCTGGGATATTTCTCTAGAAATAATTCTGTAAAGAAATCAGGGTAATTTTTCTTTTCAAGGGTAATTTGGTTAATTATACTTATGACCGGAGAAGATGAGCTAAGTAGAAAGGAACTGTTGTAGGTGTTGGAGAGTCTTTTTTTAGCAAGAAAGTTCAATGTATAACAAGAGGAATACTCTTTCCATAAGGGGTATGGAAAGGACCCTTTGCAAATTTTCCAACTGGAGAAAGACACAAACTCCATTTTAACCAATTACTGTCACTTCTTACTAACCTACATACTTCCTCTGTGCTGCTTAACCATATTTAAAGAATTTCTTAGCTGATCAGTGTGAAACATCAGTTTTGTCAGTGAGGCAGATGCATCCGTTGCCCTGCCTTATTAATCTAATCATGGCAGAGGGACTTTGTTTTTTATTTTACTTTTTATAGGTACCTATTTTTAATGTAGGTATTAAGCTTCAAAGGCCTGTAATTTGGTTTTTATTAAACGTTACTTTCCAAATAGAAATCACAAGTTCTTGGGAGCGTGGTGTCTTACCTCATGGTAAGGCAAACCACCAAGGTATTTTTGGTCACAGCCTGACTATTCCCAAATGCCCTAGCATACCATCTCTCAGTTAACAAACTGAATAGAATTACTTCTTTTTGTGACTTGACTTGCTCCCTCCCCTCACCACTGAGAAAGGAAGTTGAGCAGCAGCTTCACCACCCTACAGATTTTACAGGTTATGCTCAGCATCCCTCGTGCTTCCTGATGAGTTCCTGATGACCCACTGATAACGCCTCAATCATGCAGTCTTTTGTCTGACTGCTTGCAGTAGACAACAGATCTTCATTAGGAAAGAATCTACATAATTTTAATTAATTAATACACGTGTACGCTTAAGAAGTTTAGTATTTCAATAGCTGACATTTCACTATGAAGCCACATCTTCCTCCAGGCAAAAAAGACCTGTCCAAATAGTAACAACAATCTTAAATACGCTCTAAATTAAATTATGACTGTCATGTTTCATTATAAATTAATTTATGACTGTTTGCTTAAGCACTCATCTTCTTTTCATTCAGAGCATAGCAGTTTTTTACATGAGCAATCAGTGAGCTTAAGTTTAAATGTAAATGGAATTTCTGTATGTCCTCATACCTGAGTAAAGTATAATTTTTATTCCACAGATATTGATGGATTTCACAAGTAATGTTGCTCACTAAAATCCAAGTAATATCTTTCCCAAGTAAAACCTGTGGTGGATTTTTTTTCTTATAGGAAAGGCGGATAAGATCAGGATCTGTTCATCTTTATTCTTCTTATCTGTATCTAAAATTCTCTGTTGGGGAATATAAACACACATTCACACCCTTCCTGTTCATGCTGGTGAGGGATCACCTTTAAAGCATTTGAGAAATTTAGTAATACTGGGGGTTTATTGTGTTAGTTGTATCAGATTTTCAGAGAGGCCAGCACCCAGCAGCTCTTCAAATTTTGGCCTATAAGGCGCAATTAATCTTGGGGCTGCAGTTCAGGAATAGCAATGTAATCTTATACTATGTGTACCACTTATTACATCTAGACCTTTATACCCAGAGGAATAACATAGATGAATTCATTGATTTTATCTTTTTAAGCCTAAAAAGAGCTACAATTTTTCAGGAAAGAATAGCTGGAAGCAACAGATAGTGACCTAAATAGTAGAATTCCAAAGATAAAAATAGGAGAAAATGAACACAAATGCTTCATTGTTTGAGAGCTGTATTGTCTGCAGCACACTCCAGTGAATCCAGTGTTTGTGGAAGAGGCCAAGGCAGATATAATCTGTGGAGCTAAAAATGACAGCCTGAGTAAGTAGCCATCAGAGATGAAGCCAGGGAAGACTCTGGCAATTGTGCTGTAAATCATAACTGCAATATTTGTTCACAGCTCCGGTTTCTGCACGTACTGGTGGTTCTGTCAGAATAGTCAGAAAAGTCCTGCCTCATAAAACACTTAAGGATATCTAATGCACTGTTCTTATGGAACTAAATATAAATTTTGGTGACTGTTGTCTGGGTATAATGTCAGAATGGAGCTGGAAAACCATTAAGGACCTGATCCTGCTCCTGCAGCAATTTCCTTAAAGCACTGGAGGTAATGGGGTCACTCAGGTAATTAAAGAATCAAGCCCATGCATTTCATTATTGCAAATAGTTCTTGCCTTTAGCACATACATCTAGTAAAACAGCATAGCATTTATCAGAAAATGTTATTGTTTATGCACATTTTCAAGTTTTTTGGGGATAAAGGTTGCATTTACACATACCTTTTAAAGGCCACAGTTAACAGCTTTGACCTCAAACAATGTAGTTAACAGAGGTGAGGACTATAGGATTTATAGATTTCCTTTTTAATGAAGGTCATCTGCTCTTTGCAGCTTGTCCTCACTAAAGGAAAAACCTGATTCAAGTTTTAACCCTGGAAAATTAGGATCCATATAGACATGGGAATGAAGCTTTGCATGCCACACTCTCCATGAACAGAAGATGTCCAAATAAAATACTGTATTCCAACTGAGCATAGCAAGTTAGGTTTGGGGTATTATTTAATTTTTTGGCTGAGCAGGGTGGGATTTCTTACATTCATAAAGCTGAGGGTGCGTTGGGCGTGTTTTGCAGAATCACGGCTGTAGGGTCAAGTGTCTGAGGATATTTAAGCACCTGAGGAAGTTACTCATGGGGAGTCACACTGGTGATTCAGAGCAGTGTGATAAAGAGTTTGATTAACAGTTGGCTTTAAATATCCCATTGGATACTTAGCTGCACCTTTGAGTGTTAGAGACCTGCAGAAAGCTGAATATATATGGATATAATGAGAGATTAAAAAATGCATTCTCCGAGGCTTGCATAACAGTTTGGAAACAGCAGATGAAGTGTCAACACTTCCTTTTCCAATAATGACTTGAAAGGGACCTTTTTTTAAAAAAAAATTAGCTCTCGTTCTGCAGCAAAAGCCTGAAATATGCTTAGAAATATCACAAATCTGATTCCTGTCTTCTTGGTTGCTTCTTATGGGCTATGCTGTACTTGGATAGGGTCAGATGTTTCTGTGAACTATAATGCTTTAAATGAAGACAACATTAACCCCAAAAACCATTTATTTATTGAACTCAAATAGGTGTTAGTAATGAATAAAGGACTCTGAATTTTTTACAATTACAATTACTATTTTACAATTTTTACTATGTTTTCTATCTCACTGAAATTTCAGCATGCTGACTGGGACTTGTGACTTCAATGTACACCACTCAACACGAGTGAGAGTCAAACCAGCAAAGACCTCATTTTCCAAAGTACAGTGCTAAAAGATCTCAAAAGATTTTCTCCTTCTTTGTGAGGCCAGATTGCCAACCAAGAGTAAGAGAGGAAAAAAAAGCTGTGGTTGTTCATGGGATGGGAGTGAAATCTCACAAACACATATTCTGTACCATTTTCCTCTGGGTCACAAGGGCTGATCTAGGCTCTTCACAGAAATCTCCTGTCCAAATTTTATAATGGACTTCTTTGAAACTCCCCAGGGCTCTTGTCTTCTCCATCCCTTGGTAACTAATTCCTCAATGTCTGATATGGTCGTTAAGTGTACTCTGTACATCTAACTAGAAATCTTTTCCTATTAAGGCTTCCACAAAAACAGAGTTCTGCTCCTCTATGGGAGATCAGAGCTATCTACTGTTTCAAACTTACATTTATTTTTAGTTAGATTTGTAACTCACATATTTTCTAATGCATAAGTCATCCACCCCTGACATTTCAGGATCCCAAGTCTGATGCGTTAAAATTGTACGATCTGTAATCTCTAGATGTGGAGGAGAGGAATATTTGGACTGTCTAAAGGATGTGTGTGGAGTGAGTGAAAACAGCAAGTTCATGTTATACAGAAATCTACGGATATGAAATTTTTTAAGGGTTCCCCATCACCGATGAAAAATTTGTAGAGATATATAACACAAAAAGAGTCTGACCAAGTGACAGTTCTTTAATAGATAACCAGAGAGATATGAAGAAAACTTGGAGGCCAGCCTGTGGAAAGAGTTATGGAGGTGAATGGAAAGAAATTTGAAGATGGTTTAAGATAATGTCAATTGGTGTAGACCAGATAAAGACAGACCCTTTTTCATTTTCTTAAAAAGTTTGAGGCACCAAAAAATCTACATAAAACACCTGTTAGTTATAAAACTGTCAAACAAGCATACATTTGGGAAATGAAGGGATTCAACATTCATGCAAGGGAGAGAGAGATTCTTGGAAGACATGTCAGATATATTTGTCATCTCAGCAATTTGCCTGTCTGTGTTCCAGAAAAAACACAAGTAGTTTTGTGAGCACTGAAAGTAATCAAGCCTGATTTCCTACAGACTAATTAATGGAGTTACTAAAAGATGCAAGTTGGAATTGAAGCTTTTTTTGGTTCAGCCCAGAATCCAGTATGG